TGGTCGGAAAGGTAATGCCCTTATGCCCCACTAGAGGGCGCGTGAGGCTTAACTTCAGCATACCAGAGGAGTCAATGGTAGTGTCATCACTCTGGTATTGTAGGGTCCTAATCCAACCAACAAAAGCAACAAGCACTAGCCAATCAGAGGGAGAGTAGGGTGCCTCATGCCTTCATCATCTTAGGAAAAAAACTGGTATGAGGATAGTCTTCCAATACTTTGACCATTCATTGTATGTCTTAAGAAACTATATCCCAAAGGTTTCCCTTTCAAGCATGCATCAGCATTCCAAAATCAATTTCTCATTTCGACTACACCATACCTCACAAGGCTCAACAAATGGCCCTCTCAAAATATCTTTCCCATTAAAACATATTTCTTTGTTGCTTTTGCTAAAAGCACATAAACTATCCTAAAATGTATGATTTTGAAACTAAGATATTCACTATTAAATAGTTGTACTGAGTATGGGTAGTGCACTTAACTGAAATCGTAATGCACTGACATGCCTTTAACATCAAATTAAATAACATTTCTTGCATTTAAATACAAATCACATTCTACAACATCTACCATATCAAAATATACTTCTCCAACACTATACAATGGGATAACACATCATGTACATGAATATTTCTTTCTACAGGGACTGTTTCACTGTATTACAGTATTCATGTTAAACACAGTCTCACTGAAATTCATGAAATGAGCATGCTGGAACCAAATGTACTAGATGTTTGCACAGATTTGTATGAAAGATAATGAACTCTAATGGGAGTTTTCTATTCATTACATTCCTCTGGATTGTGTTACAGTATATTTGCAAAAGGTTGAGGCAGGTAAAGCCAGCCTGTTCTCATACCTAGGGTATCAAATACTAAATTTGTCACGCCCCTCTGTGTGTGATATAGATGCTGAAGGCACCATTTAACATCTTTATGAGACGCACCTGGCTTTCAGCTAACTCCAATGTAAGCCCATTAGGGGCAATACTGGACACACTTTCATCAAGGAGACTATAGTTTGTGTCCAGTGTGAAACCAAAAGTCAGTGGGTTTCATTTTCTAGTATTTGCATAAGGTTCTTACTCTGTGCATAAAATACGTGTGCGAAAAATTACTGTTGGAATAATGCCACGTGTGCACCGGCTGATTTTGGTCAATCTAAATCATTCTAAATTGACATGCGTGTGCCTGCTATCTGCAATCAGCACACTGCCATGCCCCTATTTGTCTATATAAGGAAATACGTTTGCCCAGAGGTGTATGATGGAGAAAGAGGTTAAGTTGTATCTATGAACATACAAAGGCCCTGACACACCAGTGTCGGACCATCAGTGAGTTTCTGTGAATGTATTGGCAGTCTGAAATAGCTGTATGCTGTTCATCACTCTCTGCAAACATGTTCATGTTCTCTGATGCGCTCTCTCCTGAAGGTACTGACTGCAATATCCAGCAAGGTTACATATGCCATCTTAGCATGGCAGCCTAACCCAACTGTGTCCATTTCACAATATTAAGCCCCAGTGATGTGCCATCAGGATAGCCATGGTAGTCCGTGCTTACTTGATATTAACTAGTGTGTGCATGCCTGCTCACACGCGTGTGTGCACAAAGTGAAAGAAGAAATACTTGGTGGGGTTTAATCGCCCTTTCATAATGCACTGCCTACCCTGTTACTGACCTCACGACATGTTACTGTTAACCACATGTTACAATGTGTTTCAGCTGTGTGGCCTGTGTGTTGCTATGAGAGACCAAGGAGCCTGACAGTTCATCAGTATTTCACGACCTGGGACGAGAACAAGTTGGTAAAGCAGCTTTGGTTAAGGGGTGGGTTATGTGTAGATAATTAAATATAAACTGTTAAAGACTTTATGTACATTAAAACCTGACTAAAAAAATATTAGCAATGGAAGCCAGGTACTTGGGGGTCAAAGCAAATACAAGTACATCCATCTGCCCATGCAAGTTTATCTATTAACATTATGTGGTAAACTCCTTGTGCTTTCTCTACAGGTCTGCTGCAGTTTGGTCTAAAACTATTTGAGGAAAATATCAAATATAAATTTCTCTGATCACAAGTGCCATTCAAATTGCAGACATAATCATGAATTTGTTTCCACATGAACATTTCCAGATAATAGGATGCAGTCATGTGTTGAAGTGCTCCAAAGGTACTTCAAGTAAACACTTCAATGTATTAAGACATTTTTCAAAGTGTTTTCTGCAGACAAATTAATGGTTCAGCTCTTGCTGCAGCCTTGGCTAACAGTAGTGGACACTTTGGTGGACACTTTTATTCAGTATTCAGCCCAAGTATTTCTTGGTCTGGACTAGTGCTATAAGATCGCCCCTAGCCACATAATATTCTTACATAAACCTACACATAAAAAACACAACTGATGGTCCTTGAATAATTGACTCTGCAGCTCTATAGTGGCACAATTACTATGATTTTTGCAAGTATCTGATAATAAATATGTTTCAATTATTTTAAAATATCCTCTTCCATCTATATCAAAATATTGTCTCCAAAGCTCAATATAGAGCTGTTTATAGCCTTCTTTACAACGATGTTGACTATCAGGTCCAGATTCACCAAGACTGTATAAAAGGTCATTTCACTATGACTTTGCTTCCTAAGAGTGGACCAAAGTTATTATCAAGCTACTTCAGCTGACAGATTAATCCACAGTGGCCCCTGTTGTTAAAACCTTTGAGAATTACAACGTTTCTCTTTTTTTCTTCAAAGATTATATTTCTATATATTTTAATGAAAATTTCATGAAATCTTTATCATGCTGCTTTCTGAAATCAGCAAATACAGTATGTATTACAGTGTTTACAGGTAATGTGATGATGTGGCTTCTATAACACTCCAAATGTCCACTCCAGCTACTGCCTGTTCTCTCCAAACTTCAAGCTAAAATCAATGACATCGATCAATAAGAACTAGATCACTAATTACCACCAGAATGGGCACAGAAACACTCTTGAATCCATTTCATCAAACGTCAGTGTTTCTTGTTGACCAATCAGGGCCCTTGCTTCCGAACTCTTTATCCTATCCACACTAACACATGTATAGGACTTAAGTTACAACTTTCACATTCAACCATAAACACTGTATCAGCCTATTTAACTAAGACACTCCCTAAAATAGATGTTGAAATATTAGAATAAAAGTTCTCTCCACTCAACTATTGTGCATTCCACTTAAAACAAAATGCTCTTTACAACCCCAATAGCAGCAACATTATCGCCTAAATCTTCACCATGGCCTTGCACCTACAAATATAATCATCAAAGAGACATTAGACCAGAAGTGGTGGCTTACAGGAATATATGAATATGTACACAGTCAGAAATATCCATCTCATCTGTTGACACTTTCATCAAGATGTAGTGAATGTGCTTTCTTAAATTCTACATGATTCAACCTTGAGGATCTTTGTGTTACATTAAAACTCTGACTGCTGAGAGTCCTTCCAGTCCTGCACTAAGGCCCGAATATACTCGGGCGTACTATAAGCGGAGCAGACTCCGCAAGGAATGTCCGCAGTCATTTCCATAGCTTCCATAGTCGAGCGCACTTCCGCGTTGTAGTTTCCTGTAAAAATGTCAGTGAAACACACTACATTACCCACAATTCTTGCACGTCAATGTGAAAAATACATGCCGAGCAGTCACTGGTGTGCGGAGTGGAGTCCGCGCGGTCGTAAAATCTGAACTTTGCGTACACAGGGCTTGTGGACATCCGCTTTTGGTCCGGGCCTCCACGGAGTCCGCTCCGCATACGTTCCGCCCGAGTATGTTCGGGCAGCATATCTACAGTATGTGACTAGCCCACAGCCACATGACTTCTTCTCCTGATGGCACTTGGGCACTAAGTTAAACAAAGAATGTAAACACTGGGCTAAGAAAATGATGGCTAATCACTGTCGAGTAGTCCAAACACTGTTGTTTGTCTCTGGTAATCAGTATTTGTTTTTCTCTAAAATTCATGGAGTAGAATTGTCAGAATATTTTCAACTTCAGAAATTCAACCGCACATGCAAAACACTAAAGCAAAATTAGTGTAGAGAGTTACACTATGACTGAGAAACGGGGCCGCTGTTAAGAGGGGAAAACTGATTTCAAGAATAAAGTCGTTAAAAAAAGTCATGTAGCTATAAGAATAAAGCTGTTTGTGTAAAAGAAAAAAGGCATAATAGTGTGGGATTTAAGTCATTATTTTGTGAAAAAGTTGTAACATTTCAATAAAGTTAAAATAAGTCAAAATATTATGAAAAACAAATTGTACTTTTCTGGGGAAAAGGGAAATCATTTGAGAATAAGTCGTAAAATTATTTTATATTTTTATATCAATATTCTATTGTAGTAAACAGGTTAGAGCAGCCTGTCAGCTTCCGTGTCAAACTGAGGGTTGTTGAGGATCTAAAGTTATAGCTTTTAAAAATCTGCACTATATTATCATAGATTTTAGGACAGGCATTTTAAGTCTTCCCTTAGGTCAAATAACAACTGCACTGACGGCTGATGAATGCTAAAATAAGCAAACATACATACTTACAACATTTTGTTGTTTTTTTAAATATAGCCAAATTTTATTTTATTTATTTATTTTTAAATACTGACTTTTTCCATAATAACATTACGTTATAATACTTATATCTTGTAATGTAACAATTTCTTATAAAGGTAAGACATTATTCTTTCAGGATTATTACTTTTAATTGTAAAATTATCATTTGTAACTTTGTAATACTTTCTTTGAAATTACATTTAATTTTAGTAAACTAGATTTTTATATATAAAATTGTATTGTACTGTAAATTCTTACAAAATTGTATTTTATGGATGTAGCATTACAAGTTTTTCCTCAAACCTAAAGCTTTTTTATACTGTAATGCATTTTGTTTTTAATTTATAATCGTATTCTTGTAATAATGTACTTTATAGTAAAATTACACTTTAATTTAATATTATACTCTGTGTTTTCAAAATTACAATCTGTGTTTTTTCTAACTTTGTTGTAAATGTACGACTGTATTTATGTAATATTGTACTTTTTTTTATTATTTCAATGTCTTGCCATTTTTGTAAAATCACCACTTTTCTCAGCAGGTAATATGACCCTTTTCATAAAGAACTACAACTTTATTTTATGGCACTGCAAGCTTTGTCTCAAAATATCACAAATTTATGATAAAAATATTAGATTTCCTTCTTCCAGGCAGTTGCCCCAAAACTCAACTGTAATGGTACCCATACTGTAAAGCTGGGAGTCATGATGAGCTGGAAAACCGAACCAAATAAAGAAAACAAAATACTTCACTTCATTCAGTCTTTGGACTTATGTATGACCTAAGTTTGTTCAGATGACCCAAATGCTGCATGTACCAGTGTACAGCACAGCTACTACACAGTCAGGATAATTCATATACTGCACATCATTAAAACACAGCATGTAAAAAATTGATTAACTATATTTAAACACAAGGTATGTCCCATGATATTGTTCTTATCCAACACAAACACAATACCACCATGAACTAAGAGATACTGTTATTGCCCAAAAGGGACTCCTTTTAGCTCAGACACAATTAAGACTGTGGGTTTAATTTCCACTGTGGCCACTCACATTCATATGTACAAGCACAGCACAGTTATGGGCTTTGAATGCAAATTTCCATCTAATGGCATGTGATTACATTGTAAAGTTTATATATCAATATTGTTACCTGTGTTTGACAAAAGGATGAAAGACGAGAATATACTGTGTGTAAAAATGTTTTGATAAGAATGTTATCTCATTGACAGCTGACCCAGCAGTCAGAGTCAATAGGCTGAATACCCCCTTGCTGACAGGGAACTATGGGACAGAGCGAGGAGGCTGGAGTCTCTCCTCCTGAGTCAAAGGGTCAGCAGTTTATTTAGCCCATTATTCTTGTGCCTATGAAACAAGTGCACTCCATTCATTACATTTACAAAAAAATGGGTGTATCCAGATTTTAAAAAAAGGCAAGGAAAAATGTTGAATCAGACTCACCCCTCTTACATTGGGCCCTGACTATAGTCCTTTCTGACTGGCCAGTTGGAGATTGTGGGCAGGGCTAATTGTGTTAGTACTCTCTATGGCTTTTGACCCAAAGAGGATTGTGAACCTCTTAGTAATAGGTTTTGATAAGCCTACTTCAAGTGTCTTAGTAAGACATAACATTTATTCAGTTGGGATCTAAACTGGCTAGGATGCTGGGGGACACAAATAGCCATATATTGGGCCCTAATGGGTGGGACTAACAAGTTTTTGGCCATCCCCCTTTGGCTGACCCCCTGGTGGTGGACAGATTTAACCAAATTTTCCTTATGTGTGGCCTAATCTGAGATTCTGTATGGCCCATGCAGCATCTCCATTGATTTTTTTTTTTACTGGTCGAGTAGGACACATTTTAATCACAGGAGATAGATGGATGATTTCAACACTGAGCGTGTCATTCTTTATAGGCCAACCCCAGAGTAGGAGGCGGGGTGTGAGTCAGGACGGGGCGGGGTAAAGTAGGGGGAGGGGTTGGGCTAGGACGGCCAAACATACCCTGCAACTGCCTGTTGGGGTGGTTGGGGTGGTTGGGGTGGATGGGGTTTTCTTGAAAACTTCGAAGGTTTTCATGGAAACGGTTGCTGCTTTCATTGTCGATGCGGTTACTGTCATCACAGAGGCGGTGGTTATTGTGAAGGTCGGGGGTGGGTCCTCGATCGGGGACATGGACGATATGGGAGCTGCTCTTCCTCCTCAGGGTGGACTCGCGGCTGGACGAGGCAACTGATTGGCTGTCTGAGCCACCGTCGCTGCTCGCAGCCGTTCCCTCCACTGGGGTGACCCTGATGGTGGTGATGGCCTGAGGGTGGGGGTGGAATGGAGGCGCAAAGGTGGCAGTAGGGGTGAATGACATATTGGAGTTGGCAGAGTTGGGGTTGAAGTTTGCAGAGTTGGGGTTGAAGTTAAAATGGGTATTATTAAAGTTGGGGTTGTTGGGGTTAAAATTGGGGTGCTGGAAGTTGTTGGGGTTATTGGGATGTAAGGGATGTAAAGGGTGTACAACATGTGGGTGGTTTGTGTATACACCTCCTCCTCCTCCTCCCCCTCCGTCTCCACCACCTTCACTCTCCGTTTCAGTTCCTGTCACACTTCTCCGTCCATCCACTGACCCTCCATCTCTCAGCGAATCACAGCTGTCTGTGTGTCTGTTCAGGTCATTAAGGGCGAAACCTGACTGTCGGAGCGAAGCTCGTTGTTCTGGTGGTTTCCATCGCCAGGAGCCACTTCCATCAGTGCTCGGAGGTTTCACCACAGGTTTGTTTGATCTGGACTCTGGGTGGGCTTCAACACGGACTATACTGCCACTTCTCTCTAAACCTCCTCCTAACAGAACAAGACAAATAATCAATAACTCAATAATAATCTTCTACTACTAACAATAATAATCATCATCTTGAATGTTTAAATCCATAAATCTAAAGGTTCAGTTCTCTTAACTGCAGTGACTGCCACGAAGCAGCAGAGTCCAGGACCTGATATATTAGGTCATACTGCTTGCTATTCTTCAGACAGTCCAGACTTTATTCAGTCTTTTGCTGGGAATAAAGTATAGAACTAAGGTAGCCCTATTTCCATAAAGTCTAAGTAAATCCTTATAGATGCATAACAGTGCTAGAGGCAAAGAGTTGAAATTGATATCCACTGATCATCTGCTTCTGGGAGAGTAACAGATGTGTCTCCCTGAATGCTTAACTGTTCCCTCCAAGGTTAACGCTGGAAAAAAAGTCTTTACTTTTGTTTCTGCCAAGAAATCCCACAAACGTCAAAAATCAACAATGTGTCAGTGCGTTTTTATCATTCTTATCTTTTTTGAACTTGTGGGATCTGTGAAAAAAATGAAGATGTATCCTTTACCTGGTCACTGACTGATCTTTTTTTCATTTCAATTTCAAGTTATTTCTGGCAATCTAAAACTAAATCAATCTGCCTCCAATGTAGCAAAGCTTTCATATTATGATAGCAGAATCAGCTCTAGTCTAGGAGTAGCTGTTGGTATCCTTTAAATTGCTCATCTTAGGCTTAGTAGGGTGGTTACATGATAAATGGATAAACTTGCATTTGTATAGTGCCTTTCTAAAAGCACTTTACACTACATGCCACATTCACCCATTCACTCACACATTCATGCGCTGATGGTGGCAGAGTCTGCCATGCAAGGTGCCATACTGCTCACCAGGTTCTAATCAAATCTAATCTAATGTGATCATTCAGTTCAGTCTTAAGAGGTGGACTGTGGGACTGGAGGAGTCAGGGATTGAACTGCACATCTTCCGATCAGCGGATGACCTGCTCTAGCTCCTGAGCCACAGCTGCTCATCAAGTGAGCGATGGCTTACTTGACGGGCAGGCTATCAATTAGATGCCCTCTCTCCTCTGTGTTTTGCTGATGGGCCCCTGCTGTCCCAGCCTCACTCCCTAGATGCCATCTGCTCACTTGGGGGCCCAAGTGCCAAGTGGAGTCCCTTCTCATCTAGAACCACTGACTGCCCTTTAAGCGGCTCTGGAGAGGTCTTTGACTGCTTGCTAGTAGGCCATGCCTCAAACTCCCATGTCCCGGAGTAGCCTTGATGTTGATGTGGCTATGAACCCTCTGCAGCCTACCTCTACTGGACAGACTTATGCTTTCAGCCACGTTGTTGAGGGCTGGCTGCAAGTTCAGTATACCTCAGTTTCTTGCACTTGTAGGCCACTTCCACTGCATCCTCCCAGGGCACTGTGAGCTTGATGTTGTGAACGAGATGGAGTGAGACTGCCCATAGCACACAGGCTGGTGTGAGGCTGGTGGATGCAATCTCAGCTAGAAAGCAGAGTCTGCAGCTATCTTCCAGTTGTGTGCTCTGGCCAACCACCAAGAATCTAGCCTTGGTCTGATGAGCCTGCCTTGCCTCTTACCCTGACAATTGTTGCTGCTGAAGGCAAATGCTGAAGGGGGTCCTGCGTTTGTAAACTGATTTTCCCGCACTGCTGCAAGACACCGTAGCACCTGGTGCCACTAACCGTATCTGCCATGATGAGGCTAGTCTTACTGCCCAGTGTATTTTAGTGTTACTAGTGTAGGGCAGAGGGGGCATGTGGGGTCATCTCTGTACAGCTTGCTGAGCTACCTGGCAGGACATCAAAAGTAGCCTTGATGATGATGCTTGCTATGAATGTCTCCATTTCCCACAGCTCTCTCCAAGACATCTTATTTTCCACTCCCCTCCCATTTCATGTAATGCCCTTGCCTTGCTTTGCCTGAATCACAGTCTTTGTGCTCCTTGTGGCCTTCTCCTGTCACCATATCTCCTCTATCACAAGGCTAAATTTCTGAGGCGAGTTCAAGCCAGTGTGCAGGTCCTAAGGCCTTGTCACCCCTTATTTGCTGCACTTGGCCCACAATGTCTCAGTGTTTGAAAGCCACCTTTGCCTGCTGAGTTGCTTCTGCTGGGGTCAATTTTCTGCCTGTAGCCAGAGTGGGGGCAAACCAAAGCCAAACCCATTGGCTTATGGTCTGATAAAGCCTCTGAGGGTGAAGGCCAGTATCTCTGGCTGATACGGTGTAGCCAATGGATATCTGAACAAAGTCTTCCTTTTTTGTGCACCAGTCATTTCGGCTCATCTATATAAACAGATGTCTGCATATGAAGGCTAACTTGTCAACATACCATATGCAGTGGGTTAAGAGATTGCATTTCGGCTATTGCACTCTGCTTCTCCACACAGACTGTTTACCTGCTATTTAAAAGTAACTGGTCAATCTTACTTGGACCACAGATGTAAATCCGAATGCTTCCAGTACCACAATCACTTCAATATCAAAATCTTGTCCCATCGCCTACATACATCCCATATACAGAATCTGTTCATAGAAATTACGGTGGGGGCCCCAGAGGCTCCAAGTGGATCACGTGACTCAGCATCTTTGATCTTACTGTGGTGCACTTGTAGTCCTTTGTTAGACCGAAGAGGGTGTGGGTCTAGGACTCCTTTGCTGTAGAGCCCAATGCTACTGAGGCACCCGGGAAGCCAAGGCCACTTTCTTGGATATGAGCTCATCTGCCTCTCCAGCTTGACCTTCAAATTTGGAGCTCCATTTAGTGTTAGTGACCATATGAGACATGACAGAAGCCTGAACTGCATGCACGGAAGCTTCAATTTGCCAAGGAGCATAGTCCTATCAATGCTCTTAATGCCACTTATTCAGCCAAAGGCATTGCCAAGGCCCAGAAAACCACATTATGGTCTGAACCCTCCTTTCTGGCCACCTGGATCTGACATCAGATGGTAGTAGCATTATAGCATTATAGACAGAGAAGCCTAGGATCATTCCTTTGTGGATTGATGTGTCAATCAGATGCCTTCACTCCAAGTATCCTGGCCTGTGCCAGTAGCCTGTGAGCCACCACACTAAAGGAGCTTTTCGCTTGAAGTTCAGGAGGCTGATCTGGCTGAAACGTGCTCTTGTCTGCTCCTTACTTCTGCATTTCTTTACCAGGTTGTCAGTTCTTCTCAGTGTTGCAAGCCTGCTACGGTTGTCTTACTACAACAGTTTTATGCCTTCCTTTACCTCCTATGTAGCCTTCATCTATTGATTCTTCAGCTGCCATCTCTCTCTAGCTAAGCAATGAATTTCTTTGCCTCCTGGACTTGGTCGATGTAGTTTTCCTCTTCTCTACTGCTCCAAAACACTCCATTCCGTAGTTGTAGATTAGTTCCACCATCTTCTCTAACTTCCTCATGGTAGCGACCCTGAGCATCTCAGAGACATTGCAGAGGTCACCATTGACCTCTGCACTTGATCAAGGGCTTTTGCCCCTGGATCTTCTTTTCCACTGCAGGCTGGAATGGGCTGAGTTCAGGTTGCTCTCCTGTGCCTTGCATTTCCTCTGCTTGGACAGGATTGCTGATGCCCGGTACACTTTGGGTTTTTTTCCTGCTGCTGAGCTTCATTCAACTGACTCAACCTGCTTCTCAGAAAGTAGCTAATGATGCAAGGTCTCTGTTGTCCTTTCTTCAGGCACCCTTTCTTGACCTGATGTACAGTACAGGCCAAAAGTTTGGACACACCTTCTCATTCAATGCGTTTTCTTTATTTTCATGACTATTTACATTGTAGATTCTCACTGAAGGCATCAAAACTATGAATGAACACATGTGGAGTTATGTACTTAACAAAAAAAGGTGAAATAACTGAAAACATGTTTTATATTCTAGTTTCTTCAAAATAGCCACCCTTTGCTCTGATTACTGCTTTGCACACTCTTGGCATTCTCTCCATGAGCTTCAAGAGGTAGTCACCTGAAATGGTTTCCACTTCACAGGTGTGCCTTATCAGGGTTAATTAGTGGAATTTCTTGCTTTATCAATGGGGTTGGGACCATCAGTTGTGTTGTGCAGAAGTCAGGTTAATACACAGCCGACAGCCCTATTGGACAACTGTTAAAATTCATATTATGGCAAGAACCAATCAGCTAACTAAAGAAAAACGAGTGGCCATCATTACTTTAAGAAATGAAGGTCAGTCAGTCCGGAAAATTGCAAAAACTTTAAATGTGTCCCCAAGTGGAGTCGCAAAAACCATCAAGCGCTACAACGAAACTGGCACACATGAGGACCGACCCAGGAAAGGAAGACCAAGAGTCACCTCTGCTTCTGAGGATAAGTTCATCCGAGTCACCAGCCTCAGAAATCGCAAGTTAACAGCAGCTCAGATCAGAGACCAGATGAATGCCACACAGAGTTCTAGCAGCAGACCCATCTCTAGAACAACTGTTAAGAGGAGACTGCGCCAATCAGGCCTTCATGGTCAAATAGCTGCTAGGAAACCACTGCTAAGGAGAGGCAACAAGCAGAAGAGATTTGTTTGGGCCAAGAAACACAAGGAATGGACATTAGACCAGTGGAAATCTGTGCTTTGGTCTGATGAGTCCAAATTTGAGATCTTTGGTTCCAACCGCCGTGTCTTTGTGAGACGCAGAAAAGGTGAACGGATGGATTCCACATGCCTGGTTCCCACTGTGAAGCATGGAGGAGGAGGTGTGATGGTGTGGGGGTGTTTTGCTGGTGACACTGTTGGGGATTTATTCAAAATTGAAGGCACACTGAACCAGCATGGCTACCACAGCATCCTGCAGCGACATGCCATCCCATCCGGTTTGCGTTTAGTTGGACGATCATTTATTTTTCAACAGGACAATGACCCCAAACACACCTCCAGGCTGTGTAAGGGCTATTTGACCAAGAAGGAGAGTGATGGAGTGCTGCGGCAGATGACCTGGCCTCCACAGTCACCGGACCTGAACCCAATCGAGATGGTTTGGGGTGAGCTGGACCGCAGAGTGAAGGCAAAGGGGCCAACAAGTGCTAAACACCTCTGGGAACTCCTTCAAGACTGTTGGAAAACCATTTCAGGTGACTACCTCTTGAAGCTCATGGAGAGAATGCCAAGAGTGTGCAAAGCAGTAATCAGAGCAAAGGGTGGCTATTTTGAAGAAACTAGAATATAAAACATGTTTTCAGTTATTTCACCTTTTTTTGTTAAGTACATAACTCCACATGTGTTCATTCATAGTTTTGATGCCTTCAGTGAGAATCTACAATGTAAACAGTCATGAAAATAAAGAAAACGCATTGAATGAGAAGGTGTGTCCAAACTTTGGCCTGTACTGTATCTTAAGGCCTGTGGTGGAATAAAGTTTTGCAAAGCCTCATATGCAACTCAGGAGTATGTGTCCTTCTGTAGCTGCTGAATCTTAAGATGTGCTGATCATCACATTCGTTGTCTGTTTCGTTCCTGTGTCGTTTACGTTGTTGTCTGCCATTGAGACATCTTGTGCCCGCACTCTCGCTAACTCAGGAGGTAATTTTGGTCGCAAAATGTGTTTGGGGCCCTAACAACTTTAGTGCTGGATCCTGTGCCATGGGTAGCTAATCTGTGGGAGCTCCATTTGGGTCTGTTCTCTACAGTTAGCTACCAGCTGTCTTTCAATTCTGTCACAAGATCTTTCCTTTGCTGCACTTCCACAGCAGTCACTGTATAACCAGATAATCAGATATGCTATAGGGGACTAGTTGTTGGTTTTCCTTAAATTGCAAACCTCAGACATACTGCCTAGGCTCAGTGGAGTGTTCAATTGGTAAATGGATGGACTTGTATTTATATAGCACCTTTCTAGTTTTCCGACCATTAAAAGTGCTTTACACTACGTGCAACTCTCACGCATTCACACACATTCATACACTCATGGTGGCAGAGACTGCCATGCATACTGCTCAAAAGGATCCACTCTCATCTCATCTCATTTAATCCAATTTCACCTAATCATTCAGACGCATACTCTTCTTCAGGAGCAATTGATGGTTCAGTTTCTAGTCCAAGGATACCTCAACAAGCTGTGATTATTGATAGCCTCTATCTTAGACCAGTTCTGCTAAAAGTAAGACCCTCTTCCTACCTGTAAATATTGTTTTTTTCCCTACTAAAACGAAAAATGCTTTGAAAGTCTTTCTCCTGCTCTGTTCATTCTTTCCAGTATATATCACTGCCATAAAATTATGTGCCCATATCACTGGATTACCAAAGCCCTCATGCAATTTTTTTGTCATAAAACAATCCACCTTATGGTGTTTGGCAGTAACGCTGTGTAAAAAGTAGGGCAGAGGTCAGCTAAGGCTGCTGGGCTTCAGTATGATGCATTACCACACACCAGATATATGTATATATTTCTCTATTAGCAGTACAGACCTCCTCCTCCCACTGCTCCGGTGGTGGAGGCTGGTGGTGATGGGTCCTGGTCTGTCAGGGCTCGGTACCGAATAGATCCAGTGCAGCTGACGGTGCTTCCACCATCCTCTGAGCGAGGAGAGTGAAGCAGACCCTGCTGTTTGGATAAGGCTATCACCTGGAATAGGAGGATGACAGTGTCAGGTGAACTATTCAATATTTCGCTCCTGGAATGTTTGCTAATTATTAACTGGCTCTTCCTGTAGGTGAAATGCTATTCAGACTAAAAGGCTATTACTGTAGCTGTCCACAAAACATACAGCCTGCACTGAGAAGACATTTATTTACCTGTGTAAATACTTGAATTCAGTCTCTTCTGTGCATGCGCTATTTTTTCATGTTTGTCCAAAATAACCTTTGCATGCATTAGCAGTGAGTATCTATAAGTGAACCTAAATTTGTGAGCTTAATTTATGCTCACAGTTCTTGTACTCATCAGAGATGTGTACTTGATTTAACTAACAGTTATATTTAAATCAACTCAAGATGCTGATTAAAACAACTATTGCCCTTATTGATTTATCAGCTGTACCTTATTTTGTCAATTTAAAAATTCATTGTTTGCTCTATAAAATGCCATAATAGAGAGAATTGGCCATCATTTGTCATTATGATTATCATAAAGCTATCAGAGTCTGAAGTCATGCCTTCATATGGCTTCTTTTGTCTGACAAACATTCAGAACAACAAATGTGTTTATGGAATTCAGTTTACAATTATTTAAGATTGTCGAACATTTGGGAACTCTACTCGGTAAACTTACTAAAAAATCATCCACGAAGTCAACTATAGACCCCATAACCAAAAAGGTTCGGGATCTAAAGCTCTGCAATCTCTCTGTCTAACCTTGCAGGAACAGGGGTTCCACAAAGCTCCGTCCTGGGCCCTCTCCTCTTCTCCCTCTACGCAAGGACACTTGGTGCTGTCGTACACTCAAAAGACTTCTCCTACTATTGGTCTATTCTTCTCATATCCCCCTTCTGACATTCACTGCTTGCCTGCCATATGTCTCAGACTGGATGTCAGTATCACTTAAAGCCAAGATGAGTCTTTGAACTCCAGTATTCTGAACGTGTTTTGGTTGTTTGGGAGGAATACACTCCCAGTCTTTGATGACATATAGCTTTTACACCTATTGAGTTTGAATACCTCTTCTAAATGAATGTCATATGATGTAATCAAACAAGCACTTAACTTGATAGATCGATAGATAGATTAAGGTGGTGAAGAAAAAGAATAATTCACCTGCATGAGACGAGGCTGTCCTCCAGCACTGAGCGGCCGGCAGGGAATTGTTGTCTTCTCAGCCACTCTCAGCCACTTTTCCCTCACTGACCCACCTCCATCCATAATGCTGTCCTCTGATTCACTCTCCTGATCCTTGCAGGTGAGATTTTCCTCCTCAGGAATGTGAACCAGCTGAGAAGATCCCGGCCGAGACTGAATAGACACTCTGGCTGCACCAGCCAATCCGGTGCTGCCATTATGGGCCATGTGATTATGATTAGTCATAGGAACAGAGCTTGCTGCCAGTTTCATGTACTGAGCTGGGATGTGGGCCCCAGCACGCAACTCTGTTTCCTGACAAGAGATAAGTGTAGGCAGGTGTGTTACCCCACGGAGCTCTGCCTCCAGGCCCATAGCAGAAGGTTCAGAGGAGCAGCGCAGCTCCATGTTCCTTTGAGGAGATGAGGATGATGCTGGCCTTATTCCATCCATCACCTGCAGAGATAGCTTCCTGTTGTCATTTTTATTCTTCCACTGGCTGAGCAGTTGTTTGGATCGGGTTGAGTCCATTGATGCGTGGATGGAGGCATGACGGCGTGGAATGCGACCCTCCTCCAATGAGGAGCCTCCGTGGGACCTGGACGAAGTGGCAAAGAAACATTATAAGGACCAGAGAGAAGAAGACCTCACACATTTTTTTAGTGATGTCACACTCACATTTGTTCACTGGTGACCAGTGAGTATGACAACCACAAATCAAATCAAATCAAACTTTATTTGTAACGCACTTTTCATACATTAAAAATGCAGCACAAAGTGCTTCACAGAATAAAAACATACAACAAAAATACTACATAGGCATATTGAGAACCCGCCTCTCCTACCCCCACATATAGGCTAAACACACACACACACACACACACACACACACAGTCAATATAGTAACATGGCTGGGCACTGAGGAACCAGGTGAGGAAAGAACCACCTATGGGGAGCTCATCCACACTGATAGGCGTCACAGCTTACGGCCACAGGGAGCGCCCCACAGAGACCACCCCGACCCCAGACCGGGGTAGACTGGGGTAACGTTAGACTCCACACATGGTGCAGAGCCTCCCAGTCCTCCGGACCTGAGGGATCTCCAGGACGACGTCCCCGCGGGCAGACCGGACACACCTCTCAGTGTGGAGGTCCCCCATGAGGAAACACTGGAGCTAAAAACTAAAAAAATTAAAGGCACTACAAGGAACTTTTAACTGGATATGCAAAAGTCTCTCGTTTCTGCTGATGTCTGTGCGTGACCTGCAACAGCAAATGAGACCATCGTTGTCAAGATAAGCTATTTCTATATAGTGTATACTCATACCTTTATGAAACTGTAGCCTACGGGTCTGTCCCAGGTTGCTTCCGGGACGAAGCGATTTACGGCACTCAGACGGCACACTTCATCTTACCTAGCTGCTTACATTTATAGTGACTCTTGTAAATAGTCGCTATTCCTCCTCCTCGACCCGACGTCCGCGGGGAGTTAAAATAGCAGCAATCATCGGGTAAAAGTTCTGTGAAAGCACTGGACTCACCAACAGTCAGCTGTGTCTCAGTCACACAGAGAAAATCCAGTCCTCGGGAAGTCAGGAAATCCTTCAGGATAAACATTTTGTTCGCTAGCGATCTAGCATTTACCAGCCCAATCCTGGCAGGAGCTGGCGGGTCCATGGCGTTAGCTGTCCGGGGAGCCACACACAGGCCGCAGGTTGCGCAGATTAACCCTGCGCCAGCGGGAACGAGGAGAGCAGGGGCCGCGGGGCTGGAACACCTCATCCGGGCCAACGACGGGTACCAGCCAGGCGTCAACAGGGTCCAGCGAGCGCCGAGAAATAAAGAGGCGAGGCACCGCTCCATACTCAGTCCAAGAAGCCGTGGAAGTGCTCGCCAAACAGGCTTTGATCCTTACCAGCCGACCGCTGCGTTTACCCTGGCGGCAGTGGCGCTTACGCCGGAGAGGTGGAGCTGGGGCGCGGCAGAGGTGAGCTGGGATCCCCGATAGGAGCGGGGGCAAAGTTTTCCCGTCATGTTGTTTCATTCATCCCCAAAACAAACACATGCGCGAACCAGGTAAGCGTCTATATGACAATACGCGCTAGAGCTCATGGGAAATGTAGGCTTCATTCCGGCAAAACACTACCGCTTTTGTCCACAGGGTCACCAAAATCAACTCAAAATGAAAGTTCCTTGTAGGGGCTTTAAAGACTAAAAGGCAATATGATAAGATAAAACAAGTATGAGATAAAATAATGATAAAATGCATACAAATTTAAGGATTTAGAAAAAAATTAAAAAATTTAAAGATTAAAATAATATTAATAAT